TACATTTTGAGGCGAAGAAGCACTCCTTTAAGAATAGGAAAAACATTTGGTCAAGATCGTCAATTTGAGCCCAAGGCAAGTAGTTGGTACCGAATAGCTCGATGAACCTAAAAAAGCATTTTGATCACGATGGTCTTGAAGTTTCACAGAGTGATGGCAACAGAATAGTTAGATCATTGAATGTGTGGTGTTGGCCCCAAAAATGTGCATTTGCAAAAAGCACGGTGCTGCCGTAAAGAGCAATGGGAAGCGTGAGCTCAGAAAGCGATACCTTCTAGAAGGTTTGAACTAAGCTAAAGCTGTTCAAAGAAGGACACTTAGACCTTGCAGATATGCTCGCACTAGAGTCTCTGTTGAGCTTGATGGGGAGCGAGTTTGAGCACTAGATTTCGAACTTCTCCCATCAAGTGAAGGTGACACCCAATGGTACTGTGAAAGTATTCCGTGATCCTTGATAATTTCCGTTACTGGGCACATATCTATGAGTAATGAGCTGGCTCTGAAGCTCCTTATCCAACTGAACCAAGCGTCCAGTCTGGGGCATCTTTCGAAACTTTCAAAGATGAGTTGTGCGTTCATCTGCAGGAGGTATCGTTGCCAAGTGCGGAGTGGACAGAAGAGTGCCACTTTCATCATTGAAAAGCACGGGGAAACGTAACTGGAGGGTTGCGGTAGCTTTGCCTTCTCGTACTTCACCTAGCTATTGGTGAGCTACGGGTTGCGGTATCCTGGTACCGTACTTCACCAAGAGCGGGGTGAAGTACGGCACCAGGATACCGCAACGATTACCATGGCAAGCTGTTGAAAATACGCAACCGAACAAACGTCAGAGGGTGCAGATAAGTAGCGCTTTTGGCTATAGTTAGGCTCATGCCTGGTCGTACTACACGTTGCGCTTCTGCGTGCTCAGGGTACAGCATCGTGATGTGTGAAATGGTGGTGCCAGTACGACCCCCTCATCCCCACCTAAATCAGGATCTCGGTACGACTCCCCCCCCCCAGCACCTACCTACCAATTTCCCACATTTTCCAGTTTTTCACTCCACAGATTTTCCGTCGAGCGGGAGGGGTGGTATAACCCATTGTGAAACAGGAAAATTTTCTAGATTTCCCCAACTTCCTACCACTTTTTCCAAAATTTCCCGAAAATTTGCCTACTTTTACCCAAAAATTTTGCTGTCGAGGGGGGGGGGGGTAAATGGTGCACATTAAAAAGAAAAATCACGACAAATCAACGACAGGGAGAAATTTTTGCTTAACGAAGCTGTCCCTACCGAGGCAGCATTTACGAGCCTCCTCTCCCACAAACGACTAAATACGCACCCCCCCCCGGTCTCAGCCAAAAAATCCGAACTATCCTACTGTGTGTTTCGCACAAACAATGCTGTACCCTGTGCGTGCTTCTTCTGTATGTGGGGTCAGAAATGGGCATCGCTACGGTACTGGTCCGTTCTCGTGCACTTTCCAGAGGAAAACGTGGCACGCTACTGCAGCTGCGAACATACACGTCGCACATGGCAATGAACAGGATCCTGAAATTTGAGCGTTTAGCGCAATTTTTAAACTGATTTTGAGCCATCCTAAAAAGAGCTGCTTCGCAGCTGTGGACTTTACAAGTGCCCGTCTTCCAAGAGCGGATGCTGGCACACAGCTACGGTCATTTCCTTGAAGGTAAGCCAACATCCTGGTGCTTATTTGGTAACCAGGCATCTCTGCTTTTGATACAGTGAAGAGTGGTTGCACTCCAACACTTGAAGGCACACTCATACTAAGTCTCTTTCCACCAGATAATAGCGAAACTTTCCTTTGGCCTTATAGCTTTCACTTTGGCATCGGACCAGGAAATCTCTAGATGACTCCACAAACTTTAATGTGGGAGCTTATCGCATAGATAATCTCGCACTTCAAAATAAAGAAGAATGCCCAGGGAATCACCATGTAATACCACGATTCCATATCTTCTTTTCTATTTACAACGCGACCTTGATGAGTAGCACGAGCGGCGTACTTCGGTGTTCCAATGAATTTATAGCGTGATTCCCTGAAATTGCTCCAATGCCATTACAACATAACAGGTTGGAGATGACGTCAATCTTAATAATTGGGAATCTGCCTTTGTCTTTGAACTTCGCTTATGGACTACGCAACTTAGCTTTTTTAGCATCAAGGAGTTCTAAATCTAGCACGAAAATATTCACAAAAGTAGCTACGTAATTCTTCTTACTTGGGTAAGTTGGCAGTCGTTTTCTTCAAACTTTGTGCTCATGCCGAAGTCCATTATGAAAATGACATTTCTGTGATCCATTCTGAAGTAGCGATTTCAATACTTCCAGTACATAGTCGTTGGAACTTTTGTGAGAAAAGTCGCAGCTTCAAGAAACAGCCTGCCGTTATGTATCTCTTATAACACTTGCCTTGACGGAGCAACTCACGTCAATCGTAGGGGTGGAGTAAGGCGTATAATTGTTGTCGTGCTCATTGATGCGCCTTAGGTTGAGGTATGCAAGCGGACGCGTGGCACCATCCAGGCAGGACCAGCAATTTTAGGGGCGTCGACCCAAATAATGGCCATCAATAGACTTCCTCTTTGAGCTGCTGCCAGAAACGGTTTGAAAGGATTTACGTAGCATACCCTATTTTTTTGCGTATACCTTGTCGTTAGAAGCAACTGAATGAAGGTTGTCTCTGACCTGCCGACGACGAAGTTGTCCGGCTTTACATCTCGATGAATATAGCCTAACTCGTGTAGATTTTTCAAAGGCAATGATGTTTTGACAGCGATCTGATCGCTGTAGTGGGCCTGGCTGAAAGGAAAGGGTGGAAAATTGGCCTTTGCATTATTACACCTCAAAATGTCGACAAAATTTTTTTTTGCTGAAAGGTTGTCTATAGGGGTGTTTAGTACCTCGATCACCAATATGACATTGGTTATCGGCGCTGATGCCATGTGGAATGATGAAGGGTTTCTCTGAGAAGTGATTTGACACCCTGATCGCGAATATGACACTCATTTTTGGCGGTCAGCCTTGAGTAGGGGCACTTTGATCGATCTGCGCTCTCGATAAGGCGGTGAGCTTGGCGAAAAGGAAGTATCACTTCGCTCCCAGGCTTAAGACTTAGAAGAGCGTGGCGCTTAGGTAGAAAAACTGAAGCCCATAATGCGTCCAGGAACCAACCCGGAATAACCTATTACGCAAGTCTATTAGATTTTGTAAGAGTGCTGACGCCACATTAGGCGGTCCGTGGGCGCACTGGGCCAATGGCTCCAAGGCTTGCTGAAAGCAGAAACGCTTATGCCTCGACCATAGTTCTTCACCCTAACATTATTGGTGAAAGCTTCAATGTTCCAAAGTCTCATTTGCCTCTTTTGCCTTCGAGATCTCGCCTCTTAGGCGGTCAGTGTTTTACAAAGCATTAGATGCAATAACAAACGTAATGAAAATTAAAGCAAGCGTAGTCATCCACGTATCCAATCCGTAAAATGTCTATCAGGCTAATACTTACGCAAATTCGCTTTTCATAACAGTCTCCTTTATGTAATCTAGAGATTTGCCTGTATACGGCATAATAATGTATTTGAAGTATTGATTATATCCCTGAAGTAACAAGTAAGAAAAGCTAATATGAGCATTCTATACGCCCGTTTCTTGAAACATGAGCATTACCCCGAAAAGTGCGTTCTATTTTGTGCCTAACAGCTTGCTACGATTGGATGCTCTTATTGCTTCTGACTTTGGGACAAGGTTGCGCAAATCTTTCTTGAAACCCTTGATCAAAAGTTGGTGAGCACTGCCTCTGATAGAGCAGTCTGCCATAATCGCTGTTGTAACCGTTACCGTTGAAATAATTTGAAATGATTGCATACCTTGTCAACCATATGCAATATATGGTCAGCCGAGCGAGGATCTTCCCTTTTGGCCACGTTTATAACTTCGTAGACCAGAACTTCCCGCTGAAATGCGTAATACATAAGCGAGAAAAAGGAGAAATTCCAAGGAAAATTGGCTAGAGGAAAACCTTTTTTGCTAAATGGAGAGCTGGGATCTGAAGGAAAGTGAGAGAGAGCAGCCCAGTTTGAACGCCTCAGAGAGCGTGGTCCCAAGTGACTCACAATCCAATAGCATAAGATCCATACAAAAATAGGGCGTGTGACTCTTTTTGGATTGGAACGTTGCCAAAGCTGCTTTTTCCATCAATGATGCCAACCTGAGTCCGCGAGTGTTGACGAAAAAGGCTGTTCTGGCTGCGCTTCAATTTACGCCCCTGCACACGCCCTATCGTTGGCAGGAATCATGACTTCACTTAGCACATATTTTCAAATCGAAATGGACACTATGTGTTGTGATGGACCTGCTGCTATCTCACCTGCTGAATAAACGCCTAAGGAAACAGTTGCGAATTTGATCCTTTTCTGTACAAGGTAGGGAGAACGGAGAAGTGTGCCGCAACTTGGATGTGCCCCATAAATGAAGCATTGCAATGGTTGGACCATTTTTATGTCGTTGCCTATTAATATTCGACCAGCGCGCCGCAATTTGCGGGCACTAGGTAATGGCGCAAATAATACTTTTAGTTTCTCGAGGAATGAAGAGATTGAGGACATCCAGCTAGGACGGAGCGTATTGCAATCCTGCTTTTCGACAAGAAGTGGAAGCTAGAGTGAAGGTAAGAGATGGAGATTGAAGACTTCTGCATTGACCAAGGGTCGGTGAGACGAGCTATGCAGCGCCAGACTCCGGTAGCGGGTTAGGAGTGCTGACATGGTCATCGGCGTCTTTGCAGTGGTCTGTGCGTGGCATTGGTTTGCGTGAATCCCCTCAAGAAGAACATCCACCTATCACAACTCTCCAGTCTCATTGCCTTAGTCCAGTTTTTAGTTAGTAGGGGACGAGGGAGGGGGGGGTGAGCGCAGTGCTACGCTTGTCAGAGCTGCACATCTGTGCCCAAAATCATCCCGAATAGTAGGACTACATGTTTCTTGTGACTGCTCAACCTAGCGCTTTTTGCTCTAACGAAGTGTCGACATGTCATCCTCTTGGCGGGTGTGGTAAAATGTCGAGGTGGTAACGAGACAATGAACTGTGTGCTAGAGAGAACAATCGGAGCAGTTAATGGCGGTCGGCGGGGGGGCGGGGGTGGGAGGGGTAAGGCATTTTGCACTTTTGCTACTTTACATAACTTTTCGACCCATCTAGGCAACCAATTTCTCCGAGACTGACAGGTTTTATCGCGGATGGCTTGAAGAACTTGCTTTAGCTCCCTACGAAGAGTTCACAGGTTTTCACGCAGAATGACTTGTAAACCGGAAATAGTCGGAAGCAAGCAAAGTGCACTTCCCCCCCACCTCCCCCCACCCGCGCCGTAACTGCAGTCCGAATTACCAAGGATCTCTAGACAAACGCCGGAGACTTATAGGAACTGCGTTATGAATCCAATGAGATGTTTCAGTGATTACAACCCAGTTCAGCAAAGACTCCTCATAGACACTCGCGTCTCACACCTTTGGGCCCTATACCAATGTTCTTCCGAGGGGGGAAGACGGGGGGGGGGTAGGAGGGATCCAGTGGCTTTTAGCGTTTTGGCTGTTTTATCTTTGCAGATGCCCTTTGACTCTGTATGTCTCGCTAGCTGCGTCCCTACTGTGGCATATCATCGTTGGGGAAACCAGGGTCGGATTTGGTCGCTACGGGGGGGAGGTAAGGAGGGGCGTGCCGAAACGGGTCTGAGAAATTTTTCTTGGTAGTTGGTTTTATTCTTGTTACACAGCATGAGGGTGGTCATATGCGCTGGGAAGAGGGGGGGAGGGGCGTGTTTGCGCGCTGAGAGAAAGCGGTTCGAGAATAATTTTCCCCGTCCGTTACTGTTCGCGTTTTCTGATTGAGGTTTACATGTGCTATTTACGCTCCATCCCCTTGCTCGAGCTAATTTGGGGAAAAAAAAGGGAAGAAATTCCGGAAATACTGGTAGAAGCTGGGAAAATCTAGGAAAGTAGTAGGTAGGATGGGGGAAGAGGTCGTATTTTCCTCGCGGTTTTCCCGTCTCATTTGTGCTGCACCCCTGCCCCTGTTCGAGTGCTCATCTGCCGTCAGAGAGGGAGCAGAGAGGGGGACGTATCAAGGCACTTTCTTGGAGGGGAGAGAGTCGCACACACTCGATTCCGTCTCTTCTACCATATGGTCTGAGCGGATGTAGTGCAGCGCAGAGTGAAGCCGCGCGGCATTTTTCCCCTCCTCTTGCACATGTAGTTGAGGGGGGACACTGTAGGAGCAGTATGCAAGGGTCCAGAAGAAGGAAGACAGTGTCAACAGATGTAACAGAAGTAACAGCAGCGAGCTCGAGCCACTTAAGGATGCCTCCTCGACAGAGGAATATAGCATAAGGTCCTTGAGGGCGAGCGCACGTGGACATTTCTCTGTATAGGGGGAAACGTGGACAGTGTGAGAACGTTGCAAAGTGAAAGAGTAAGTAGTTGAGCAGTAAGATAAGGGGCTTAAAACTTCCTGTCAAAGGCTATATCCAGGAAAGGATTTTAGGAGGAAGAGGCCACTTGAGATGAGGCGTATACTGTTTGAGGCGCTGTTGGAAGCTGAATACAAGTTTGCCTTCCGTATTGTTGAACGATTCTCCGAGCGAAATTGTGCACGTTTCCTAACGCGGTAAAACTCATGCTCAGCATGTGTGTAACGCACAAGAGAACTCCCGAATTTGCTCACATATTAAACTTTAGCTCCGGTGCATTAGAAAATAGTGTTGAGTCTTTGTTCATTAGAGAAGTCGTGTCATCATTCCGGAGTTGTCTACTAGAAATGAGTATGTGCAGGAGCCCGCATCGCCCAATGCAAGAGCACCTCACGAGTTGGTGTTCGCGTTGTATGGGCTCGAAATTGTCAAAGTTTTTAGCCAAATCTTCGAGACAGTGGGGTAGCCAGTTCGGCGACACAGCATAACGTCATTTAATAAATGGTCACTTCAACAACCGCCCTTTCCTAGAAGAAAGAAAAATGAGACCAGTTCTCAACGCTGAGTTGTTACCCACTTTTAGTCTTTGCAACATATCATCGTCCACATCGTACTCTGTCTTCATGGCTAACAAGCCATTGTCACGCTCTCGATTCACTTCATAGACATCTCCGAATCCTCCAGCTCCAAGCTTCTTTATAACAACATACCTGGAAAACTCCCATTCAATGAATTCTGAAAGAATGGTTCAAGGGTAATTCAATCGTTACGAGGTCAACTCACTTATTTGTTCTAGTTGTAATGAGGGTGTTATACGGAAGCGTTGGCCTTTCATCTGGGTTGTCCACTTCCATATTCGGGCAGAATCCTTTGGCAACAACTTGTTGCATTTCGTTGAAAAACGGATCCTGTAATAAAGCATTTCACAATGGGCTGAAAATGGGCGTCATGTATTGGAATTCATACCACAACTCCTGCCTTAAAGGCAGTTGGCACGATAAATCGCTATACAGATGTAGGATTTATACGACTGGCTTAACAGAATTCCGTGACCTCGGACAGGCGCTCCGTGGCGCCTTTTCCAAGGAGGGTACCCCCTTATCGAGCAACAACATTCCGTCCCAAACGCCTTCCTCGCCCCGCCCGCCCACAAACGGCACAACGTTTCTGGACGCTCGATTCTTCATTGCTGAGCAAATTATGAAGCAAAGGGATTGGTATGAAGCGGCCGTGATGCTGCATGCATATATGGGTACACATATGCAGCCGTATCTTCGGTAGCGGTTGGTAAGATGCCTACGGGAAACTCGTCCGAAATCGATTTTAAGTCACTGAGAACGGAGGCTTTTCCTTCGCCAGATTCTTTTGGCCGTTTAACTCCGCTCTTTCGCCATTCCCCCACTACATAGCGCCCTACTAGCATTTTAGGATCGAGTGTGGAAACCATCGTATCAACTTGGCCCTTTAATAAATCGAAAAATAGAGAAACGTGGTATCCTTCTGTTATATTTTTTGTAGCTGTTCCAGCATCTGCGACTGGCTAACGTGTATAAGCCTTTCATTCCACTAGACGGCTCTGTCTAAATCGCAGAGCACGCTCTTTCTTCCCTAAGTAACAGATGAAAGCGTTACGCTTCAGCATTATAAGCTGACGCCACCTTTCTCTTCACTTTCGCCTATGAACGGGACAAGATTTCTTCATGAACTCTCTAGTCTTTCCGTAGCTTGATTAGGGTTTTGACAGCGTCTCTCTGCGCCGTTTGCTCATTTGAAGCTGGGAGCTACCAGAGTTCTCACAAGGGAAGGATGGTAGGCGAATGCCTTGAAAATAGATATACCGGCCGAAAGGTCTTCGGACAGGATTACGAAACCGTTTTCCATATCTGCTGCGGACCTCCCAGAAAGAAGTTACGGAGCTTTTTAGGGGGAGAATATTCATTCACTACGAATTGGCGGCGTAAGGCTCAAGAGATCGTGGCAGCATGGCCGAGTGGGTACGTCATAGGGCTCCCGGATGCGTGGTCGAGGGTTTGGATCCTTGATGCGTGTGCTCTTTTGCATTTTTTCGAAAGTGGTCCCTGTGCACTTCAAAGCTATTTTGCATAACTCTTGTGCCTGATAATGTCGTGACGTAATGTTTCTGAACTGATGGAGCCATTGCGAACGATTTCATAGGAGATCACTTCTGGCTGAAGAGATTGTCATACGAGCCGAAAACTTCCAGCAGGTGCGAAACCACTTTGGGATAGACATCATTTCAACACTATGTGAGTAATGAATGAAAGGTTTGCCCGTGGCGCTCTCTATGATTGCCACATCGACGCCACTTCGTATGAAGACTATACTCATACCACTATACTTCCACTATACTCATCTTCGTGTGACTTCGGATTCGTTTTCCAGTCATTTGGAGAATAAAGTCATTTTAAGGCAAAATCATCCGTTGAAATGCACTTATGTATGCTTTTCAAATCAAAGAAGGAAGAAGTCAACAGCCAGAAAATGTTCTCC